TTGAGGCAGGGTATCATTAAGTTGCCTAGGTTGGCCTTGAACTGAGATCCTCCCACCTCAGCCTCCTGAGTAGCTGGTATTATAATCATGTGCCTGGCAAAAAGTAGTTTTCAAAAAGGACTTTGGGTACTTTCACAAGAAGTAGAGGAACTGGCAAAAATAGTAGGGACGAGGGGCGTAACTCAGTGATGAGGTCAGGTCGTGGGCTCAGTCCCTAGCACTGAAAAAAAAAAAAAGTTATAAAGATAGATGCCCACTGCTCTTGGCCTGAGTGTGTGGCCCATTCACGGTGATAACAGAGTCACTCTTGACCTCAGGTAGGCTTCTGGCTTGAGTGGCAGTGGCAGATGCTGTGCGGTGGCTGAAGAGGTAATTCACCTTTAGACTCAAGGAGGAATGAATTCCTTGACTCTGGACCTTCCATAAAGACTCAGTTCAAAGGGCCTTTTTATTTGGAATGGGGTCCTCTGCTACGGGTTTTACTAGAGGGACATTTTATATTTGTAGGACAGAAAACTTGACTTTATCAGTATAAGTTAGAAATTTCAGCAGTGCAGAACTATTTTGTGTATCGCCTCCAGAATGGAAACTTAGTCTGCTCAGTGCTGTGGCAGTTAATGAAAGAAGAAAAAGAAACTAGGCCAGTAGTCCACAGTGGAGGTCGCGATGGTATTAGCTTTGTTGGTATTCACCTTGAGGCAGAAGGGGATGAAAAAAAATTAGGTAATTGTAAAAATCCATTAGGCACAACAGGCAGAGCTTCCTTTGGGCCTTGTCTGAGCCCAGGGGTGGACAAGTGTTCTCATTCCGGGCCCCACTTCCCTGCTTCTGGAAAGCGTGATTTTTTTCTCTTAAGTCCTTTATGGAACCTTTTATTAGATCCTCTTAATAATCATTTTAAGACTACTCTGGAAACTTTTGCCTCAAGTCTAAGTTTTCCTCCCTCTTCGTAGAGCTGCTTAAAATTCTGACTTCTAAGGGCTGTGGAATCTTGTGTCCCAGACACTTAGACAACAATGAGAATAATGGGGCCGCCCAGTTCAGTCCCTGAGCTGAGGCTGTTACCCAGGTTTCACTGAGACACAGACATGTCACCCATGTCTGGGACTGTGTTATAAATGAAATCGAATTTCTATAATTATAGTTATGAATAATTCAAATAATAAATCCTCATTATATTCATGATCTCACTCATTCAGTCAGTCAAGATTTTTTGCACGTCTACCAAGAACTGCACGCCATGCTAGGTGCTGGGGAATATAGAAATGAGAATATTAACTTCCAGTTCCCAGTGAGCCTAGGATCTAGGGGGGATGAAAACGGGTAACTAAGATACCGAGAAAGAGAGAGAATTGTTAGGATAGATAGAGGCTTGGATCAGAGGAACCTAAATGGGGCACCCATAACCCAGGCAGCCAGGGATGTGTAGGCAGGAAAGTCTTCCTGGGGGTAATCTTTGAACAATGACACCATCTACAGAGGCAGAGTGGTTCAAGAAGTGCAGCTGAAGTACAGAGTAGGAAAGGTGGAGAGAACTTAGACTCTGATGTTTAGATATTTTACCCTGAATGGTCATGGGAATTCCTGAATAACTTAAGTAGGAAAATGATGTGATCAGGTTGACACTTATATTTCAAATAGATGGTACTTTGAAAATTTTAAAAAATATATGTGCGAATACTGAGAAATTTCCCCCTTATCTATTAACCTTCCCCTCCAACAACCACCCCATGCATTTCTTGTGTATTTTTTTCAGAGCTGTGTTCTACAAATGGGAGCAAATACAAAAAATATACGAGTCTTATATTCTCTCTCAGTCTCTTTCCACAACCTCTCTTTACAAATGACAGCACTTCCTGTGTAGGATTGTGCAATGTGCTTTGTTCACGTAGCTCTTTATCTTGGTCAGATCGCTTCCTATCAAAATGTTAGATATTTCCTTTTTTTCTTTTTCTGTGGTACTAGGGATTCAACCCAGGATTGCTCTACCACTGAGCCACATCCCTAGCCCTTTTCATTTTATTTATTTATTTATTTTTCTTTTTTTTTTAATTTTTTTTTTTTTTTTTCCGGCGGACACAACATCTTTGTCTGTATGTGGTGCTGAGGATCGAACCCGGGCCGCACGCATGCCAGGCAAGCGCGCTACCGCTTGAGCCACATCCCCAGCCCAATCATTTTATTTATTTTGAGATAGGGTCTCCCTAAGTTGCAGAGGCTGACCTCAAACTTGTAATCCACCTGCCTCAGCCTCTAAGTCCTTGGGGTTACAAGTGTGCACCACTGTGGCTGGTTTTCTTCTTTCTTAAGTCTGCTTAATTTCCCATTTTCTAGCCCACAATTAATGAACATTTAGGTTGTGGAAAGAGGCTGAGAGAGAATATTCCAGCCTGTTTCTGTTATGGAGCTGTTATAAATTGTGCTGGACATAGAAGGCTTGAGTTTTGCAGAAAGCCCTGCAGGATTTTTTTTTTTTTTAATGGTCTTTTTACCTTTATTTTATTTATTTATTTTTATGTGGTATTGAGGATCGAACCCAGTTCTTCACATCTGCTAGGCAGGTGCTCTACCACTGAGCCCCAACACCCCAGCCATCTATGGGAATTTGATACTTGCTGAATGAACGATTGAATGGAAGGTGGATGATTTAGAAGTAAGGAGGGATATGAACCTGTACAGTTACCTGGGAATAGAAAAGAGGGAGAGATGTGAGGGAGATATTTGTAGCAGCTTCAGAAAGGCTGGGTGACATATATATGCTGGGATTAGGGAACAGAAGTAGCCAAGGATGATTTCTTGGAATAGTAAAACACATTGGGCAAACGCTATGTTTATTACTCACATAGATGAGAATAGTACCATTTTTATCAGGAAATGCATGCACAGAATTGTAGCAACCACCAGCAAAGAGAGTCAATTGGAATGGAAAGTAGAATCAAGATAATCATTCATTTCCTGATTTCTGTTTCTCCAATCTTGTTTTTGTGATTCTTCCACTCCTATTGCTAAGCTGTATTCTTTCTTTTTATCTCAACTAATTATCTCTTTGACTTCTTTGTTTTTTCCTCTTTGATTTGAAGTCCTGTTTGTAGAGACTGACAATTCCTAAGCTGCCAAGCAGTCTCTGAGGTGACTTGGACTCATGATTTTAAAGTTAGACATTGCATCTGCAGAGTACGCTTCTGACAGATGGTATGGTTGAGAGTCTGCTTTTTATTGAGATATAATTGACCCATCATACAAATCACTCTTAAACTGCACCAATCACTGCTTTTTTTAGTGTAGTCACACCATTATTACTATCTAATTCTAGAATATGTCATCACCCCTGAAAGAGGCCCCATACTCATTAGCAATCATTTCCCATTTCTGTCTCCCCCAGCCCCTGGCTGTCACCAACTCCTTTCTGTTTGTGTTTTCATTCTGGATATTTCACATGAATCAGTTCACACAATATGTGACCTTTGAGAAATGGATTCTTGCATCTCGAGTCTCATTGGCGAGGTCCATCCATGTTGGAACATGAATCAGCACTTCATTCTTTTTATGACTGAGCATTATTTCCAATTAAGGTACACCACGTTTGCTACATATGCATCAGAGGATGGATATTTGAGTTGTTCCCACTTTTGCCCATTATGAATAACGCTACTTTGAATGCTTTTGTGTGGACATAGTTTCATTTCTCTTGGATAAATATCTGGGGGTGCAAGGGGTCGTCCTTTGTTAACTCTTTGTTAATTTCTTGAGGACCTGCTGAATTTTTTGTATTGCCTGCACCATTTTACATTCTTTTTTTGTGGGGGGTGGGTACCAGGGATTGAACCCAGGGATACTTAACCACTGAATCACATCTGTAGCCCTTTTCATGTTTTATGTTGAGACAGGGTCTCACTAAGTTGCTTAGGGCCTTGCTAAGTTGGCAAGGCTAGCCTCAAACTTGAGATCCTCCTGCCTCAACCTCCAGAGCCTCTGGTATTACAGGCATGAACCACCATACCCAGCTCCTGGACTTGCATTTTTTAACTGAAAACTTTCTGTACCATCCTCAGACCCTGTGCTCAGTGCTGGGAATACAGCTAGGAACTGGTGAACATGACAGTCCCAGTCTCTTCCCCCTGGGAGTTTAAGTTCATGTGTGAAGGTAGATAGGAAGAAAGTAATTGCAATTTGGTAAGGAATTATACAAAACATAATCCCTTAGTAAACTTTTCAGATTTTTCTGTTTCAGTGATTTAAGCCCTTCCCATTATCTTTAATGGGGAAAATTCATGCAGAGATGCCTCTGAGTTCAATCCCCGGTGCCCACCCCCCCCACAAAAAAAGTCTTTGCTAATCTGACTTCTTCATAAGAAGAGGAAATTAGGACACACAAAAGAGATACCAGTGATATGCACACACAGAAAAAAGGCCATGTGAGCTCATGGTAAGAAGGTGGGCATCTAAAATCTCAGGAGAGAGGCCTCGGAAGAAACCAAAGCTGCTGACACCTTGATCTTGGACTTCTAGTCTCTAGAACCCTAAGAAATAAATTTCCATTGTTTAAACCAAAAAAGAAAAAAAAATTCATGCAGTGAGTATTTGGAGATATTATATATGGCATTTTTATGTTTGTTTTTAAAATTAATTCAAAAGAAATGAAAATATTGAAGAAAATATGTACACATGTATCTAGTGAAAAAACGTGGCATGCTCTCCCGGCACCTGTGGCTCCCCATTAGACGATTTGGTTTCTATTAATCCTGTTTGCATCCTGTGCTCAAATTTAGGACATGTAGAATTTGGACTAAACAAATTACTCTCCTAAAGAATTTTCACTTTTTTTTTTTTAGTTCATGGTTCACCTTCATTGGGGCGTGGAGTGATTTTGCTAATTTTATGGTGATTTCCTGGTGGGGGTTACTAAGCATATGTGCTTACTGTGGACTGAGAACTATACGCCTTGCCCAGGTACAGTTTGTCTGCAATGCATGACTTCTGTGTCTCCCTGTTCACTGCAGATGGTCCCCATCCCTGCTGGAGTGTTTACAATGGGCACAGATGATCCTCAGATAAAGCAGGATGGGGAAGCCCCTGCAAGGAGAGTCACTGTTGATGCCTTTTATATGGATGTCTATGAAGTCAGTAATGCCGAATTCGAGAAGTTTGTGAACTCCACTGGCTATTTGACAGAGGTAATGTGGTGGGGACAAGAGGGAAAACTTAATTCTTTTCCATCGCTCTGAGAAATGCTTTAAATCACAGTGAACATAAGCCCTTCATTTATGTATTTCACTTAATTTCTCCAGAAACCCTGTGCAGGGGGTTTTTCTTCAGGTAGCAACTGAGGGTTAGAAAAGTGATTTGCTCTAAGTTGTGTGGCTAGTTACTGATGGAACTGGGATTCCAACCTGCACAGTGGGACCCCAGATCCTGTGTCCTTAACCATAAAGGTATGTTGTGTTAATGCTCAAGCATGCCAGAGATGGTGACTGTTCACTCAACTTTTTGAGATAACAGACGTCACATAAAGTAAGGCCACTCTTCCCTGTCAATAACGTGCAACTTGGATGTTCCAGAAGCATTACATGTTTTAGGAATGATAGATGCAGGAGTGCAGGTTTTCATTTTTGTGGCTTTATTCCAGTGCCTCGACGGTTCACAGGATCCTCTGTGGCAGTTCCTGGCATTATCACGTGGTCACTGAAACACCAAGCAGGGCTCTGGAATTGGATGTTTGCCCTAAATCAGAACAGGAAGGGGAAGCTTTGGAGTTTATGAGCGTTTCTATGAGGCTCTGAAATAGACTTGTTTTCTAAAACGCATCCCATTTTCTCTTGCCAAAAACTTTCCCCTTGTCTTGAGTATGTGGAGTTCCTGTTTTCTTTTCTTTTTTTTTTCATTTTTTAAGCACCAACTATCTTTTTTTTTTTTTTAATTTAAAAGCATTAATTTGAGAGTGCATATGAAAAGCAAACTAATGTCCAGATAGGATTTTGCATTCTCACATTTCTTTGAAATTTCCCCAAATATACAAAGTGGTTGTAAATCTTTTTTATAATATTTGTCATAAGCAAACTTCCGTGTTCTTTTTGTTTGAAAAGAATATTCCAAGGTCAAGTTGCCAGTACGCTGCTAAAGTTAGAAGAAGATTTCGTGGGAAGAAGGCTTTCCTTAGACCAGGGTTCTCCATGAAGATTAGATAGAATAAGCAGAATTTAGCCATCCATGAGCACAGAGGAGGAAAATTTTCAGCTGGATATTTCTACCTGAAATTTAGCATGCCCTTCAATTATGACACAGACAACACACCATGGTAAACTTAGTACCTGTGACTTTGTTACCAATAGAAATCACAGACTTCATCAGGTACGGTGGTGCACACCTGTAATCCCAGTGGCTCAGGAGACTGAGGTAGGAGGATTGCGAGTTCAAAGCCAGCCTCAGCAACTTAGCCCTAAGCAACTCGGCAGCACCCTTTCTTTGAATAAAATATTAAAAAGGCTGGGGATGTGGCTCAGTGGTTAAGCGCCCTTGGGTTCAATCCCTGGTACAAAAAAAAAAAAAAACGACAAAGAAATCACAGGTTTACTTTCTTATTGTTATTATTCCAGATATTTTGATATTATTCTAGATATTTTGAAATACTGTTTGCATTCATCCCACTTTGAAGTAGGATAATTATGAGAACTAGTATCAGATCTTACTTAATATATTAATAAAAAGCATACAGGTGGGACTCGGGTTGTGGCTCCTTGGTAGAGCACTTGCCTGGCAGGTGTGAGGCACTGGGTTTGATTCTCAGCACCACATATAAATAAAAGAATAAAGTAAAGGCCCATCAACAACTAAAGAAAATATTTTTTTTAAAAAGCCTACAGGTGACTTTAACAGCCATTTGTTTTATTAATATTTGGATGTAACGATTGTTTTAGTAGTCTTATTGATTTTATTTTATACATTTAAATGTTTCATTCTGAGAAGGAAGTTTCTAAGCTTCAGTATGATGCCAGAGGGTGTAGGGCACAGGGACTTAGAAGCCCTACCTTGGACAAAATGCTTCATTTTTTTGTAGCACTTTACAGATTCCCCCCCCCCCCCCCGCCCCTCAACTTTACTTTACATCCCACACCCCTTGCCAGCCCCACTGGTCTTGTTTTTATTCTTTGAGAACCAGACCTTCTTTCCCAGCCTGGGAGCTTGGTTCGTAGTTTTCCTCTGCTTGGAATCCACAGCTGCTTTACTTATCCTCTTTTTATAGGTCTGTCTCCTTCTCCTTATTTTCCTTTTTTGATTTTTTGGGAGTCAGGGTTTTGCTAAGTTGCTGAGGCTGACCTTGAACTTTCGATCCTCCTGCTTCCTTCTCCTGAGTGGCTGGAATTGCAGATGTGTCCACTGTGCCTGGCTGCTGCTTGTTTTTGTCATCTCAGCTTGATTGTCACTTTTTCAAGGAGACTACCTCTGTTCACTCTGTCAGAAGGAGGCTTTTGTTGAACTTTTTTTTTCTTTTTTTTAACCTTACAAGGTTAAGTGAAGTTATACTCATTTTTTTCTTTCCTCATTGGGCATGATTTTTTTCTGTATCAGCACACTTAAGCACAATGAAGACAGGGATCATGCCTTTCTGATATTGACCTTGTGTCCCCTCATTTAGTTCCAAATCCAGCGCATAGTGGGTGTTGGGTAGATAGTGTTTGTGGAATGAATAAATGGCTTGGGTTCTTAGGCATGGTGATGTCACCAGCAAATACAGTAAGAACATCTGGGCTGAGGAAAGGATGATAAGCGCCACCCGGAAGGGGAGCTTGAGGTGCCAGGGTAAGGCCTAAAATGCAAGGATGCAGTGCTCAGTCAGTCTCATCAGGTGAGGACAGCATGGGACCGGGGCAGAGCTCTGGAGTCATGGGAAGTGCTGGCTGTAATTAAAGTAACAACAAGGGAAGTTGCCCAGCGGTTGACCAGTGTGTTTATCTTGAACCACTAGTGTCAGGACTACAGGTGTGACCTAGGCAGAGTTTTTGAGCCTTGCCACAGCCCCCAGAATCAGAATCCCCAGGGATGGGGAGCAGCAGCCTCTGGTTTTCACAGGCCAAGGTATGATCACAGAGCTGGAGGCTGCTGGCCCAGTGTGAGAAGTGCAGAAAGCAGGGACAGCGCTCTGAGAAGCCGCAGCATCTTAGGAACAGTAGGAAGAGCCTGTGTATTTCAGGGGATGAGGATGAATAGTCGGATATATGGAGGAAAACTAGAGGAGGAGTAGAGTCACGGAGGCCAAGGGACAGAGTACCCGGTTTTCAGAACCAGATCTCACGCAAGGAAGAGAACCGGGTCTGTGAAGAATTGAGACGTTCACATTAAGTAGAACTATTAAAGTTCAGGTTTCCATCTAGTGCTTAAATTAACCACTTGATATTTATAAACACATTTAATACCTCGGTGGAGCCAGAATGTGTCAGAATATCAGCAGTGGCATTTAGTTATTTTTGCTGAATTCCAGGAGGAGGACAAAGGACAAGGCTGGGTTACACAGTCTCATATGTATAGATTTCTATTATTTCCCTGGGCTATTTGTAAACTTGGGTAAATGTGAACAGTTTGTTCTGAAAAGCTAATCTCAGCACCCTGTGCAGGGGTATATACCTGTAGTTCCAGAGACTGGGGAGGCTGAGGCAGGAGGATTGCAAGTTTGAGTCTAGCCTGGGGAACTTAGCAAGACTCTGTCTCAGAATTGGAAAAAGGGCTGGGGACATAGCTCAGTGGTAAAGCACTCTTAACAACTAAATGAAAACAGGTTCAAAGAGCAACATTAACCTGTTTTAAGAGGGAGCCAGATGACTATAAGTCATTTCTGGGTCTTCTGGGAAGATGTAGGAAAAACTCAGGTTCATTGGGAGAAGAATCCCGTTAGCAGTGTGCAAAGAAGATGGCCTGCGTGCACCACATCACTGCAACCTTCTCTGGGTTTCTATTTCTTACCTTCCCTGTAGGCTGAGAAGTTTGGCGACTCCTTTGTCTTTGAAGGCATGTTGAGCGAGCAGGTGAAGACTGGCATCCAGCAGGCAGTAAGTAACCTTTAACAGGCTCTCCTACTGCTCATGGCTCCTTGGAAAAGGTCTGGGGGAGAAATCCAAACTCAAGGACCCCCTTCCTCTCCCTCCTAACACCTGGCCATTCTGTGGCTACAGATTTGCCCAGAGTGCCAGGCCCACAGACGGATGGTATCTGAGGAAGTGTCTGTCTGCCTTCTGTCCTGGGCGTCTCAGTTATGCATTGTGTTCCTAAGTGCAGCTCCAAACACTGGTGGGTGTCCCTTATCATAGGTGTGTGGAGAATGGAGAGCCAACTGAATGTTCCATTTCCATGCTCTTGATATCATCAGGGGCCAGGTGGAGACGGAGCTTCCTGTTCTGACATTCATGAACTCACATGGTCAGAGCAGTTTCCACAGAGGGCCCCTTTGCTGCAGATGTTCATAATGAAGGCTGGGGACTGGTCCTTACAGGCAGGGGTGTACTGTGTCATAGGAGGACCCATGGAATTTGAACTAGGTGTGTTTCTCTTAGACTGGAAATGGTGCCGTCTGCTTCCATAATAATAGAAGTATTTCATACATTGGGTGGACGAGTGAATTCACAGCACTATTTAAATAATTACCTCCTTGTTCTTTTGAATGTTGATCAAAATTAGGGAAGATTCAATTTTATGTTAGCTGTACTACTGCAGTGTATATATAGAGATTATGTATGTAATTATATTATGATTAATTTAGATTCCTGTACCAGCCATTTCAGCAGGGTCGTGACGTTTATGCATTTGCTTGTGTACATATCTCACAAAAATTTAAGAACAAGGGAAGGTGTGAGGCCAGGCTGGAAAGTCACACAGCAAAGGGGGCAGAGAATGCAGAGGCAACAGGAGACAGAGGGGGAGGGGTTAATCTACTCAAGGGAGGCTGACTAAGATGCAGATGCGTTGGGTATGGTGGCATGGGCCTGTAATCCCAGCAGCTCCAGAGGCTGAGGCAGGAGTATCGCAAATTTGAGGCTAGCCTCAGCAACTTAGGGAGGCCCTAAGCAACTTAGAGCCTGTCTCAGAATAAAAAGGAAACAAGACTGGGAGTGTGCTCAGTGGTTAAGCACCCCTGGGTTCAATCCATAGTACCAAACAAACAAACAAACAGATCTGAAGATGAATCTAGTTCCAACCTCCCTATAGTTTCCTTTGAATTATTGCCTGCATTTCATCTTTTTATTATTCTCAGTGCTGGGGATGGAGCCCAGCATCCTGTGCATGCTAGACAAGCGCTCTACCACTGAGCTCCACAGTCCCACTCCTGAACTTCATGTGTTGGCGGCATTATGTCCTCTCTGGAGAGTAGCACTACCCGAAAAATTGAGCTCTCCTGGCTCACATTTTCTTTCTTTCTTTCTTTTTTTTTTTTTTTGAGCTAGTGCATTCCACGTTTTCTTTCATTTCAAACTAATGTAGCAAGACTTGATGTGGGAGGGGAATAAAGTAAAACAAGACTTAGTCTCAAACCATGTTTTAGTGAGTCAGGTCACTTTTTCTGTATTTGAGATAAGTGTTTGAAAAATGTGATTTGGCTCCATTTGAATTTCACATTTTCTTTGCTCTTTGCAAGTTTGTATTACAGGTCTGTTATGTAATCTGATCTCCCCATCTTTTTTTTTTTTTTTTTTCAAGGGCTTGGTGGTCAATTCTGGCTGGTGTTGATGACCCAGCAGCTTGGGATATGGTGTCTTGTTTTAAGATACAGAGTTGGGGTGAGGGAGGGCATATGTGCTTATTTCTGTTCTTTGTGCGTTCAGATACAGGACATCTTGTCCCTGGAGAACCTACAAACACATTGGGCATGAAGGCAGAGGTGAATTATTGCTGGGCTCCAAAGGTGCCCTTGTAAGTGCATAGGAAAGTGTGTGTACCTGTAACCAGGACGAGGACAAGTACCTCTTACTGGGTCTCAGTGTTGTCACTTGCTTAAATGCTCATAATGGAAAAGCAAACCTTTTAAGCTTGTTTGGAGAAGGCTGAATGAATACAATCTGTGGGTGATAGAAGAGCTCAGGTTTGTTTTCTTCATCTCCTGAGGCCTGACTTAGTTTGATGCATCAGATCTCTCCCCATCTCAGTAGTGGGGTTGAACCCAAGGGCTGTACCACTGAGCTACACTCCAGCCCTTTTCTAAAATTTTGAGACAGAGTCTCCCTAAGTTTCTTAAGGTCTCATTGAGTTGCTGAGGCTGGCTTTGAACTTGTAGTTCTCCTGCCTCAGCCTCCCCAGTCGCTGGAATTGTAGGTATGCCCCATCATGCCTGGCACTAGATCTTTTTTAAATTCAGTGTTTCTAGAAGCATAGGACATGAAATGATTCATAAGATAAATTTAAGATGATATTAGGTGGTATATGGGAAAGCATAAAATCACCTTGAATCATATGATGAGCAGTATCTTCCCTTTTCAGATGTGTCTCAAGATTTGATTAAGTCATAGAGTCTCATTTGAATGCTGTCATGTCCTTAACATTTAAAAAAATTTAAAAATATATTTATTTATTTATTCTAATTAGGTATATATGACAGCAGAATGCATTTTGATTCATTGTCCACAATTGCAGCACAGCTTTTCACTTCTCTAGCTGTACAGGATGTAGCGTCGCACCATATGTGCAGTCATGCATGCACCTAGGGTAATGATATGTATCTCATTCTGCCATCTTTCCTGCCTCCATACCCCCTCCCCTTCCCCCTCCCCTTTGCCCGATCACAGTTCCTCTATTCTTCCCCTGTCTCTGTCCCTGCTGTTATGGATCAGTGTCCACTTATGAGAGAACATTCAGTCTTTGGATTTTGGGGATTGGCTTACTTTGCTTAGCATGATATTCTCCAACTGCATCCATTTACCTGCAAATGTCATAATTTTATTCTCTTTTAATGCTGAGTAATATTCCATTGTGTATATATACTATAGTTTCTTTATCCATTCATCAACTGAAGGGCATCTAGATTGGTTCCACAGTTCAGCTATTGTGAATTGAGCTGGTATGAACATTGATGTAGTTGTCTCACTATAATATGCTGATTTTAAGTCCTTTGAGTATAGACCCAGGAGTGGGATAGCTGGGTCCAATGGTGGATCCTATTCTAAGTTTTCTAAGGAATCTCCATACTGCATTCTAGATTGCTTGCATTAATTTGCAGTCCCATCAGCAATGTATGAGTGTGCCTTTTTCCCCACATCCTCACCAACACTTATTGTTGTTTGTGTTCTTGATAACTGCCATTCTGACTGGTGTGAGATAAAATCTTAGAGTAGTTTTGATTTTCATTTCTCTAATTACTAGAGATGTTGTGTTGAGAGCCGGTCAGAATGACGCCTGGCATTTGTTGATCGATTGTATATCTTCTTCTGAGGAGTGTCTGTTCAGTTCCTTGGCCCATTTATTGATTGGGTTTTTTTTTTTTTTTTTTTTTTGATGGTAAGTTTTTTGAGTTCTTTATATATCCCGGAGATGAAAACAGGGCTTGGAATCTTTCTCAGCTAAAAATTAAATAGTATTACTTATTTTCATTATTTATTTTAAATGTTGCCTTGCATTTATGCAGGTTATGCTAGTGATACAATGCTCCCCCCCAACTTTTGAAGACCTTTTTATTGCAAAATAAAATACAAATGGAGAAAGGTGACATAACAGAGGGGTAGCTTTCTGAGTTATTCTAGGGCACATGTCTGTGACCATCACACAGGTCAGGGATTAGAATTTGGCTACCTAGTCCAGCAGCCCCTACTGTCCCTAAGGTAGCCCCTATCCTGCTTTTTAAAGCAGATGCACCCTTAAGTTTCTTTCTAGTATTATCACCCAGGTTATGTCCCAAGTTTAACCTTACCCATTTTAAGGAAACCTATGTCTTTTGAGACTCTTATAATCTGTAGGTTTCCTTTCCGTTGCCCCATCCCCCTGTCTTCCCTCCTGGTTTATCCCTTGAAGAATACAGGACCCGCAGACTGGCCCACATCTGAATTTTGCTGATTGTGCTCTGACAGTGCAGTTCAGCTCTTCTGTCTGTCATTGGTGACCTGCTAATTGGTAACCACATCCTCAGGTCTGATCAGACCCATGTTCGCTCCATGGCAAGACATTAAAGTGGTGTCTTCCCCCATAGGAGGCATCAGATACGTGCTCTTTCAGCTTCCCTTCATGCTAGCTATTGTTAATGCCTGGTGGCTAACTCCAGGAATTTATTGGGGGTTGTAAGAGTGATTATCTAAATAGCTCTTTTTCATTTATTTATCTACTCTTTTCATTTATTAATGGGGATATTTTCATAAAAAGGTCAGTTCTCAGGCTGGGGCTGTACCTCACTGAGGCACTGGGTTCGATCCTTAGCACCACATAAAAATAAATATATAAAAAGATATTGTGTCCATTTACAACTAAAAATAATAATAATAATAATAATAATAATAATAATAATAATAATAATAATAATAATAAAGAGGTAAGCTCGCTCCTCTTACTATTTTCTTAACCATTCATATGGGTCATAGAAGAAAAATAGGTAAATGAATCTTTACTAGCTTTTAAAATAATGAGTTGATTTCCCATTACTCTGTATAGGTGATGGGTTTTTTTTCTTTTTTTTTTTTTAAATTGAACTTTTTCATTTTTCAGGTAATTATAGATGCACATGCAGTTGCAAAGAAATGATACAGGGAAATCCTGTATACCCCTTACTATGTTTCCTCTATTGTTCTCATAGTAAATAATTATACTATATTTTCACAACCAGAAAATTGGAAATTAGTCCAACCCACTTGTCTTCATCTGATTTCACCAGTTTTATATGTATTCATTCATTCTCTGTGTGTATACAGTTCTGTGCAGTTTTATCATAAATGTAGATTTATGTACTTGGAACCAGATTTTTAAAATCATCTTTATGAACTCAGAATTTAAACACATGTTGTGGGTTTGATTCACTTGGAATCATGATCCCTTGACTTTTGAGCACTGGATGCCATTTCAAGTTCTTGGGAATCCTTTT